TTTTGGCATTTGCTACCTTCGGAATACTTCTGCACATCCACCGCCTTTGTAGTAAGGCGAGCGAGTGATTAGCAAACTTGTAACTAAATTATTACAAGTTTCAAAATGCTTAACCTTTTCAATCCTCCGTGCGTAAGAAACAATTTTGTACGAGTATCATAAAGCAGTTCCATTTGTGGTACCCATCTGGCAAGTTTGATATGTTGCGCAACATCGATCTTCGGCCCATTATAGGACCAAACAATTCGATAATCAGTGAGCTGGTTCAGTGCGCCCACAAATGCCTCACGTTTCTCTGGCGGAGCTTTCTGCCAATTCAGGATTGTGCCAAATGCCAACAAGATTGTTCCTTTGGATCGCGGGTCGCTGACAAACTGAAGCCAATCGCCGGACAGCTCACTGGGTTGCTCACAGTATGCACCAGATACGAAGAGCTGCAAGGCTGTAGTTTATTACTTTATCTTATTTCATATTTTGAAACTGTTTCGAATCATGTCGTTTCTGTTGTCTGTCAGGACCGCCGCTAATCTGATTATTCCATGGTCATCGGCAACGCAACATTGTCAAAGCAAATGGAAAAGTTGTCATCTTCATAGTTGGAGAACCAATCTTTTCGTTGCTACTGAATCATTCAGTCGCCTGAACATTGCGGAGTACTAAAGTGCATTCATTACAAATTTCACCTGTCCTGCTTCCAACCTCTTTTTTCTTTTCCCATCTTCATTTTTAAGACACACTATACGTTATGCTGCATGTTTTACGTGACTTGATTAGTATATAAAGCGTTCAGGCGGGTGGTTTCCAAAGAGGTGACACACATACACCGAACAGGTAGTGGGTATTAACTGGAGCTATGTAGCCCAGTGTCAAAAAGACAGGCATTTCTCTGACCGTGGATGCACTACAGTAAAGTGAGGTCGTCAAACCGATTTCCCCGACAATTTTGGCATTTTTGTGAAAAATTTTTAAGACTCCAGAAAATTAAGAAGAAAGCAAAGAACAATCAGAATTAACCGAAATTGTGACCGAAAAATTTAGCAGTTTAGAAAGAAAAACTTTCTTTTAAAAAATTAGTGTATTTCAAAATCAAGGTCAAAAATCCTTCCACATTCATTTTTCATGAGAAGCGAAAGTAATTCGGGAGCAATTCGAACGGTAACAGATATCAGCAGTAACTATGTGCTGGCAAAGTTGCAAAGGTTGCTCATTTCAACAAAAAGCTGATGACAGGTTTGACTACTTGCCAAATGCCTGTACCAATTTATCATCGGAACGAATGAACGAATTGCAAAAGCCTTGGTGATGCATCACTGATCTTCTGCACGATAGCAAAAAAGAACAAACAAAAATAAAGAAATCAAAAATATTAGTTTTAACACTAATTTAAAATATTAATCACACAATGGAAAATTTTAATTTTAACTTATTTGATGGACTAACTTCGT